TATTATAAATTGTTGGAGTTATTATGTTTTGTTTATGCATGCTTGCATTTACTTCCGCACTTGGTATTTCAGTATTACAGTATTTCAGTACCTAGAATTTCAGTCTATGCATGCTTAAATCCTTAGATGTTTGGAGTAATGAATTATACTCGGTTGCATGCCTAGTAGTTTAAAGATATTAAAGATTTAAGATTTAAGATTAAAGTTGAGTAGCATCCCGCATATTAAAGTTAAAGTATTTTCGAAAGGTTAATATGAGTTTTCGAAAATTATAACAGAGTTTTCCTTTTATAGCGCGAAAAATTTACTCTGATTTTAGTAAGTCTAGGCGGGGTGTTACATAGAGTTAGGTCCTTTTATTGATAACTCGTTTAAATTCGAGCTTTTAAGGCCCAGACCTTTTAGCTCGAAGTCCACTAGGTCTAATCCGACACCGCTATGACTAGTCCGTTTAACATCTCTAGTGATATAAGGGGGCACCTGATGTAAGGTAGGTACGACCGTACGAGACGGTCCCAAGAGAGTTTGAGCAAAGCCATTTTTTTCAGTTCTAATTACAAGTAAAAAGAAAACGGGACTTAATTTTTCAGCATCAAATTGATGACAACTTTAGTCTTATATTTAGAAAGAAAAAAAAAAGTGTTCTAAATTTAAAAAAGTCTTATATTTTTTTTAATAAAAATTTGTAAAAAATCCCTTATAGAGAATAGATCCTGGATTGGGGCGTGTCCAAACTCTCAAAATTACCATACTGCCGCTGAGTAATCATATTTATTTTTGTACAAATTTGATTATTATTCTTTTACTTCGAGATTTATAAAATTGTTTATAAAAATTAAATTGTACTTCTTTTTTTTCCCGAAACGATAGAAATTATTATAAATCAAAATGCACAAATGTGCGAATACACAGCAGCCAACAGCTGAATACACAACAGCCAACAGCTGAAAAAGTGGGAGGACAGGTCAGAAGACCGCCTAGAATCTCGGCTAGCAACGCTAGAATAAAAACACTCGCAACTAAACTAACCAACGACATACAACTAAAAACAACTACAAGGACCCCAACAGGGTAATACCCGAGTGTCGGATCCAACCAGGATAATAAAGTTGACACCCGGGCTCACTGAGACCAAATGGCCCAAACCAAAAATACAAACCTAGATACAGAAACAAACACAAGCACAGAAACACAACAAATACAAAACAACGACAACTAAAAATATAAATAAAATAAACAGCCCTCCCCTGGAAAACGAGCAGACTCCAACGACAGTGAACGATCGACACAGAAAGAATCTCAGCCCAAGAACCACTACCGAAACTGTGTAACCGCCTATACAGCAGCCGAATCCGAGCCCCAAACCCTTCCCAGAATCGACCCACCTCCAACCGAGAGAAAACCGGACAACCCCCAGCAGCCCCTCCCCAACCCGTCTAACACCACTAGCCAAGCTCAAAGAAAACTAACTCCCCGGACCCCCTTCACCTAACACCACTAGCCGAAAGGGGGCGGGGTGGAGGCGACACGGATCCTCAACCCCAGCCGCCAAAACAGTCGGGACCACGCCCCATCCACAGTCCAACCACCACCAAAACTACTGCAAACTCCGGCATCCAACAACCCAACCCCGCCGAAAACTCCACCGAAAAGATGAAATTCATGGAGACGGGGCCAATCGGGGCCAGAAAGTAGGGAAAAAGAAAGCATACCACCAACCATCGAGGGTTCACCAGCGACCGGGACGCAAAGCCACCCATAGCCAACCGGAAACCGACCGAGAAAGCAGCGCCTCTTCTCCCTATTCCGCCGTCAATTGGGTCCATTTCGCACCAAAGCCGCAGAAATTTCAGAGGAGAAAGGTCCGTAACAGGAGCAGCGATTGGGGGCGACCGCAGATGGAGCCCCACCAGCGCCGAGGGAGGCGAATCGGAGACGCGATAGATTGGCGACTAGGTTTTCTTTTTTATCGGAGAGGGGGAGCAGCGAAAATAGAATAACTCGTAAATTGTACTTCTTAACTTAATAAATTATATTAATTGGCATATTTACTAATTTAATTAAAAACTTAAGACTTAAGATTAATTTTTTATTAACTTTTTGTACTTAAAATTTCACCAATTTAATTTGGTGCTTAAAATATTAAATTTAAGTACTTGGATTGAATTCTTGACACTTAGAATAATGACTAAAGTCGAGCAATCTCATAGATGAATAAAATTGGGGCGTTACAGATTATTTTTATTTTGTATCAAATTTGGGAAATTAGTAGTGCTCATGGAGATTGTATATGAATTATACAGTAAATATCTCACTCAAAACTCAAATTTAATTCAATTTTAACACAATTCCACTATATCCAATATTATCAGTATATTTAAATAATATCAACCAATCATTATTACACAT